TTCTGGAGAATGTTCCATGTGCATTAGAAAAGAAAGTATACTTGGCTGCTGTTGGGTGGAGTGTTTGGTATATGTCTATGAGATCAAGTTGGTTGATTGTAGCATTTAGCTCTTCCGTGTCTCTGTTGAGCTTCTTTCTGGATGCTCTGTCCTTCACCGAAAGTGGTAAGTTGACGTGGCTACTACTATTGTGGAGCTGTCTCTCTTTTCAGTGTTGTTAGAGTTTGTTTTATGTACTTTGGAGCCCTGTCGTTGGATGCATAAATATTTATTATAGTTATGTCCTCCTGGTGTACCGACCCTTTAATCATTATATAGTGTCCTTCCTTATCCTTTCTGGTGGATTTTATTTTAAAGTCTATTTTGTCAGAGATTAATTTTGCCAGTCGTGCTCTTTTTTGAGTGTTGTTTGCTTGATAAATTTTTTCCACCCTTTTGAGTTTTAGTTTGTTTGTGTCTTTAAGTCTAAGGTGTGTCTCTTGTAGGCAGCATATAGACGGATCATGTTTTTTTATCCAATCTGCCACTCTCTCTTTATTGGTGCATTTAGTCCATTTACATTCAGTGTAATTATTGATAGGTATGAGTTTAGTGCTGTCATTTTGATGTCTTTTTTTTCGTGTGTTGTTGACAGTTTCTTTGTTCCACTTAATTTTCTGTGCTGAGTCATTTTTCTTTATGTATTTTCTTTTCCCCTTTTTCACTGTTGTTGATTTTGTGTTTGCTAAGTCTTTATATTTTTCAAGTTTTTATTTTGACTTGTAGGATTGTTAGTTTCCTTTGTGGTTACCTTAATATTTACCCCTATTTTTCTAAGTTTATACCAGTCTTTTATTTCTTTATATTGCCTTAACTTCCTCTCCATATGCAAAATCTGTGTCTACATTTTTTAAGTCCCTCTTTTTTTGTTTTAATGTTGTCATGTTTTACATATTGACATCTGTTTCCCTATTTTCAGTGTTTTAACTTTGATTTATTTTTGTGACTTTCCTGTCTGGGTTGATATCTGGTTGCTCTGTCCTGTGTTCTAGTCTTGGGTTGTTGTCTGATGTTACTGATTTTCTAACCAGAGGACTCCCTTTAGTATTTCTTGTAATTTTGGTTTGGTTTTTGCAAATTCCCTAAACTTCTGTTTATCTGGAAATGCCCTAATTTTGCCATCATATTTGAGAGACAGTTTTGCTGGATATATAACTCTTGGCTGGCAGTTTTTTTCCTTCGAGGCTTTATATATGTCATCCCTTTGCCTTCTTGCCTGCAGGGTGTCTGCTGAGTGGTCTGAGCTTATTCTTATTGACTCTCCTTTGTAGATGACTTTTTGTTTATCCCTAGCCGCTCTTAAAATTATCTCTTTATCTTTGGTTTTGGCAAGCTTGATTATAATGTGTCTTGGTGACTTTCTTTTGGGATCTACCTTATGTGGGGTTCGATGAGCATCTTGGATAGATATCTTGTCATCTTTCATGATTTCAGGGAAGTCTTCTGCTAACAAATCTTCTCTCTGTATTTTCTGTTAATACCCCCTGTTCTGGTACTCCAGTCACTCGTAGGTTATTCCTCTTGACAGAGTCCCACATAATTCTTAGGGTTTCTTCATTTTCTTAATCCTTTTATCTGAGTTTTCCTCAAATAAATTGGCTTCCAGTGCTTAATCTTCAATCTCATGCATTCTGACTTCCATTGCCTCAATTCTGCTCCTATGACTTTCTATTGAGTTGTCTAATTCTGAAATTTTATTGTTAATCTTCTGGATTTCTGTTTGCTGTCTCTCTATGGATTCTTGTAGCCTGTTAAATTTGTCATTATGCTCTTCTCTAATCTTTTTAATTTCCACTCGTGCGTGTTTAGTGTTTTGCTCAATTTCCTTCCTAATTTCTTGAAGAATTCTGTATATTAATCTTTTGTATTCTGCCTCTGATAATTCCAAGAAATTTTCCACCTCTGGAAAATTTCTAGATTCTGTATTTTGGGAGCTTGCTGAAGCTATCATGGATTGCCTGTTTATCTGACTTGATATTGACTGTTGTCTCCGAGCCATCGATAAGTTATTATATTTATTTATTTTATGTTTGCTTACTGTGTCCCAGCTTCTTGTTTTGTTTTGATATGCCCAAATAGGCTGCTTATATGAGCTAATTTGATTATTGGCACCTTTGAACCTCTAATGTCCTGTCACCAGGTAGTTAGATCTGTTAGTAGGTATGTGTGCTCAGGAGTCTGCCCACTCCTCCTGTATGGATTCAGCTCAGGTGCCCAGGTAGATTGCCACCAAGTGTGTGGTGTAGGCTCTCACCTACAGTCCTAGACAGGCATGGGTGATTGGTGTAGGCTGCAGCAGGGGGACACACTGTCAGCAAGGCAGGGGGCTCATAGCAGCCCCTGAGTGTCCAGGAGGAAGGTGTGTCCCTGTTCCCTAGAGCATGTAGGTGGGTGGGTTTTGCAGCCAGACTATGAGCAGCTAATGCTGTTGGCTGTAAGGACTGGGGGGGCACCTCTTGTTCATGGGCCCCTATCGGAGGTGGCTAGGTGGTATAGGTGGAACCACCAGTCCTCAGGCCCCTGTTGTGGGTAGGTGAAGACCCTTCTTAATGGGCAGAGCAGTGTCAAGTGTCACGAACCTGTGCCACTTCACAGCTGAAACAGTTGAAGTTAGAGTTCCAGTATATACCCTCTTGTACTGCGGTCATGAGGGCCTATGCTGTTGAGATGGGCCCACACAAGTCTCTGCAGGGGGAAAGACACTCAGAGTCCGTGCATCCCTTATGCCTGTGCCTAGGCAAAGGAGCTGTGCCTATCCTGGGTTCCTGACTTACGGGAGCCAGCAGTTTATTTTTTCCCCATTTGTTAATTTGTTCACTCTCCAAGGCCAGGAGAATGGCTCAGGGTGTGTGACGGATTCTACTTCTGGCCCAGGGGACTCGGCAATTGCTGAAGCCAGTCCGGGACCCGGTGCAGAGCAGGGAGCTGGGAGGTAAATGGGAGAGAGGTTTTTCCCTAAGGGGAGTGTTTTTGATCTGTGCAGTAAGCCATAGGCAAGTACTTATCTTTCGCTGATAAGGGCTGCTTCTCACTGGTTCTGGGTGGCCACATAGACTATCTGCCTCTGGGTCTCTCGCTGTGTGGAAACCACTGACCCCTGGGCTGGTTAGGCCTGAAGGGCTCAGGCTGGGTCAGGTCTGGCAACTCCTCCCTGCTTCCAAACCTTCTCTGCCTCCCCCTGCCACTCGGTCCGGTTCTTCAACTTTGCCTTAGATGTTCAGGGCTCCTAGATTGTCGTATATAATTGATCTGCTTGTTTTCTCGGGTCTTTGTTGTAAGAGGTCTACTGGAAGCGTCTGACTACTCCGCCATCTTGACCCCACCTATAATTTAAATAAGTAGAATTTTTATCTTTAAAAATAAAAGTTTAAAACTGGCTCAGTAGTAGTCAGATTAAAAGTGTCCTAATACCTTTAATTGCTTCCTCTAATTTCATCTGGCAAATCATAGGAGAAATTTCTTTGCAGAATTTTTATGCCCTGATAAATGTTTCTATTTTTCATTATTAGTAAGAATTATGAAGCCAAAAGCCAAAATTTACTTCTGTTGACTCAGAATTAAGTCAGATTTTTGAAAAGCATCTTTTTTTCCTTAAGTACTGTTAGGCAGAATATTCTAAAAAGTTTTGCCCTATTGCTTAATACACTAGAGAGATTTATTCAGTATTATATACTAAATGATAGGAATCCTTACAACAATAACTTTTATACAGTCAGGAGCAAAGCTGGAAGCAGCAGCAGATACATGGGAAACACACGTTTTTTAATTTATACTTCCTCATGGTTCTCTTGGATATCCTCTGGAACTGCTTAGAAGACTGAAGAATCTCATGCCCTAGATACTCGCACCGCTGAAGCTCAGCGTGCCTTTGGGCCAACAGCGTCTTGGATTTATCAGCCACTGTTTCTATGAGGTCATCCACCTGTGACAGATAGAAGGAAATGAAGCCATGTGTTGGAAAGCCTTGTCAAAAACGAAGGGAGGTTGTTTTTCCTGAGAAATCACTTCAGGAATTGGTGGATGTTTTACAAGTCCCAAAGTGTTATTCTAATTCAAGTCATAGCAAACAGAGCTTGAAAACATACATTTACCACCCAGTGGTACAGACAATCTCATTTCTGCTCAGAGGAAGTCTATGGGATGATGCCTTCACTGGCTGAATTGACTTCGTATTTATTAGGCACAGAGCATCATCCTAGGAGCCCTTAGCAATGCTTTAGCCACTCTCAGAATGCCCCCCACTGGCGGTGCTTCCTAATGCTAATCATTAATTTTGTTCCAGTCTGTGCTGTCTGGCAGGCCTGTGCATTCAGCTAAGCCTGTCCCTCCAATGCTTCTGAGACAGAAAAGTAAAAGCTTTTGTCCACTACCTGTGTTTGAAGATTTCCTACTGTCAAATCCGATTTTCGGAGGATGCTTTCCATGCTACGTTTCTTTTTTTTAAGGGCTGGAAAGTGTGGTCTCTTTTTTGATGAATAGGGAACCTATCATAAAAATGCAAAAACACATCAGATTAGCAAATCCCAACCTAATTCCTGTGACGCTGCTTAAATAAGAATTCTCACCCTTGGGACATTCTCTTTTAAACTGAACGTTTGCCACAAAACAACGTTGGGCTGGAGACGGTATTCATATTATTCTCCACGCCCCATGTATCTCCTTTGTGCCCAGAGCTCTCTTTGAAGAGATCTGTAGGGTGCAGAGAAATGAGATTTTCTGGCTCTGAAAGAATATACAGCATCAGGAAAAAAGCAGGTCATTGGTAAGGGAGTGAAGAAGAAATTGCCTCTGTAAGCCACTGAGCACAGTGAGAGCATGGGGCTGTTGGTGGACCAGCGCCCCAGAAAGCTCATTATCACTGGATCCAGTCGTTAATTTGATCTGCGGGTTTCCTTATTTTCACGGCAGACAAATCTCCAAACATAAAAAGAAAGCTCTGGGTTCTTTTCACCACATGCTCGATGCTTTCCTATCGTCCCTGGCTTGCTGGTGACAAGTACCTGTCCTAATAGTGTTGCTATTGGATATCATTCCTAGGTCATGGGCTTCTGGCCAACATGGCATTTTAAGTCTTATTGGGTTCACTTTTCCTTCCCCTTGTGCTTAATACTTAGCAAGAGGACTATTGTGAGACCTCCACAGAGTAGTGCGGGGGATCACATCTGGGTCCTGCCTTTTCCCTGAAGAAGGCGTTTACAAAGGGAGTCTGCAGAACCACCGCTTTGCCCTGTCAGCTCCTGCCGCTCACGTGCCCCCCGCAGAGACTTCCCTAATCCATCGGAGTGTGACCCCTCTTTTTTTTCTCTTTTAGAATCCAGTACTTTTTTCCTACTAAGCACTTATCACACTTGGTAATTACACAAATCTGTGGTTGTTTGTTGAATGTAACTATCATAAAGTCACATGCCCAGAATGGCCAGGCAGGACAACTCGGGGCCCGTGTGAACTGGAGAGAATGTACCTCCTCGAAAGGAGGCCGCATCTGCACAGCTCCCACGGTTGTCACCAGAAAAGTGTGGAACTAGTGTTTTCAAGTCTTCTTACTTTCCAAAAGAAAGCTGAAAATCCAGAGTTTTGTTCAAAATATCCTAATTTTTAAACGTGGGCGACTAATTCACATATATTTTTGAGACCGTTCTGAGCACTAAACAAAACCCTTCTCTACACCAGATTCAGCCTAATGGCTGCCAGTGGACAGCCTAGGATCTTTTGATTAACAGAAATTCTTAACATTGCCAAACTTGTCGATCTTTTCCTTTATGTCAGTGATTTGTGTACCGTAAGAAGTCTTTCTCTATCCTGAAGTCATGAAAATATTCTTATTGTCCTCCAGAAGTTTTAATGTTTTGCCTTTCCCACTTAGCTCTCTAATCCAACAGGAATTAATCTTTGTGTATGGTGTGAGATAAGGATCAGATTTCACTTTTTTCCATATGGATGTCCACTTGTCCCAGCACCATTTATTCAAGTCTTCTTACGCCGCTGCTCCGCAGTGCCAGGGTTTAATGTCTGTCTCCTCCGTGCAACTGTAAGCTGCACAAAAGCAGGATCATGCCCATCATATCACTCTCTTAGCTCCCAAACCTAGAAGTTGCCTGGCACGTAATAGGGGCACATCAGTAGGAGCTAGCACACCAGGGATAAAATTAAAAATAAACATTAGAGCACTCTGAAAGCAATGTTCCAAAACAGTGCCGTTCAATAGAACACGCTGTGAAAGTGGAAATGTTCTGCGTCTGTGCTGTCCAGCATGATAGCCACTGGTGGCACGTGGTGAACACTTGGAATGTAGCTAGTACAACTGAGGAACTGTACTTTCAATTTTATTAAATTTAAATAGCCATATGTGACTACTGGCCACCATATAGGGCAGTGGAGTACATACCATAGTAGTTAAAGAGCAAGGACTCTAGAGCCAGGTCTTCCTGGGTTTGAAGCCTGGCTCTGCCATTTATCTGGGGAAATTACTTAGCCTCTCAGGGCCACTCTAAAATGAGGGTAGTATTGCTGCCTGCCTTATAGGGCTGTTACAGGGATTATCTGAGTTGATATTTTTCAAGCACTTAGAATAACCAAACCTGTTGCCATCGAGTTGATTCTGACTCATAGTGACCCTATAGGACAGAGTAGAACTTCCCCATAGGGTTTCCAAGGCTGTAATCTTTACGGGAGCAGACTGCCACATCATTCTCCTGTGGAGCTGCTGAGTGGGTTTGAACCGCCAGTCTTCTGGTTAGCAGCCAAGCGCTTAACCACTGTGCCACCAAGGCTCCTTAACCCGTTGCCGTCTGAGTCAATTCCGACTCATAGCAACCCTGTAGGACAGAGTAGAACTGCCCCACAGGGTTTCCAAGGACTGCCTGATGGATTCGAATTGCCGACTTATGGTTAGCAGCCGAGCTCTTAACCACTGCAACACCAGGGTGCCAAAGCTCCTTTGACATCCATTAAACAACCAAAAACCAAACCCATTGCCATCGAGTTGATTCCGACTCATAGCAACCCTATAGGACAGAGGGGAATTGCCCCATGGGGTTTCCGAGGAGCACCTGGTGGATTCAGACTGCCAACCTTTCGGTTAGCAGCTGAGCTCTTAAACACTGTGCCACCAGGGCTCCATATTAAAATGCTGTTGTTACGTGCTGTCAAGTCGGTTCCAACTATAGTGACCCTACACACCACAGAATAAAACACTGCCCGGTCCTGCGCCATGCTCACAATCGTTGTTATGCTCGAGCCCATTGTTGCAGCCACTGTGTGAATCCATCTCGTTGAGGGTCTTCCTCTTCTTCGCTGACCCTGTACTTTACCAAGCACAATGTCCTTCTCCAGGGACTGATCCCTCCTGATAACATGTCCAAAGTATGTGAGACGTAGTCTCGCCATCATTCCTTCTAAGGAGCATTCTGGTTGTACTTCTTCCAAGACAGATTTGTTCCTTCTTTTGGCAGTCCGTGGTATATTCAATATTCTTCACCAACACCACAGTTCAAAGGTGTCAGTTCTTCTTCGGTCTTCCTTATTCATTGTCCAGCTTTCGCATGCGTGTGATGTGATTGAAAATACTATGACTTGGGTCAGACGCACCTTAGTCTTCAAGGTGACATCTTTGCTTTTCAACACTTGGAAGAGGTCTTTTGCAGCAGATTTCCCCAATGCAATGCGTCTTTTGATTTCCTGACTGCTGCTTCTGTGGGTGTTGATTGTGGATCCAAGTAAAATGAAATCCTTGACAACTTCAATCTTTTCTCCATTTATCACTGATGTTGCTTTTTGGTCCCATTGTGAGGATTTTTGTTTTCTTTATGTTGAGGTGTAATCCATACTGAAGGCTGTGGTCTTTGATCTTCACCAGTAAGTGCTTCAAGTCCTCTTCACTTTCAGCAAGCAGGGTTGTGTCATCTGCATATCTCAGGTTGTTAATGAGTCTTCCTCCAATCCTGATGCCCCATTCTTCTCCATATAGTCCAGCTTTTTGGATTGTTTGCTCAGCATACAGATTGAATAGGTATGGTGAAAGGATGCAACCCTGACGCACACCTTTCCTGACTTTAAACCACGCAGTATCCCCTTGTTCTGTCTGAACAACTGCCTCTTGATCTGTGTACAGGTTCCTCATGAGCACAATTAAGTGTTCTGGGATTCCCATTCTTGCAATGTTATCCATAATTTGTTATGATCCACACAATCGAATGCCTCTGCATAGTCAATAAAACACAGGTAAACATCTGTCTGGTATTCTCTGCTTTCAGCCAGGATCCATCTGACATCAGCAATGATATCCCTTGGTTCCACGTCCTCTTCTGAATCTGGCTGAATTTCTGGCAGTTCCCTGTCAACATACTGCTGCAGCCGCTTTTGAATGATCTTTAGCAAAATTTTACTTGCGTGTGATACTAATGATATTGTTCAATAATTTCCACATTCGGTTGGATCACCTTTCTCGGGAATAGGCATAAATACGGATCTCTTCCAGTTGGTTGGCCAGGTAGCTGTCCTCCAAATTTCTTGGCATAGACGAGTGAGCACTTCCAGTGCTGCATCCATTTGTTGAAACATCTCAATTGATATTCCGTCGATCCCTGGAGCCTTGTTTTTTTGCCAATGCCTTCAGTGCAGCTTGGACTTCTTCCTTCAGTACCGTCGGTTCCCGATCATATGCTACCTTCTGAAATGGTTGAACATCAACCAGTTCTTTTTGGTACGATGACCCTGTGTATTCCTTCCATCTTCTTTTGATGCATCGTTTAATATTTTCCCCATAGAATCCTTCACTCTTGCAACCTGAGGCTTGAATTTTTCCTTCAGTTCTTTCAACATAAGGAATGCCGAGCGTGTTCTTCCCTTTTGGCTTTCTATCTTCAGCTCTTTGCATATGTCATTATAATACTTTACTTTGTCTTCTCAAGCTGCCCTTTGAAATCTTCTGTTCAGTTCTTTTACTTCATCATTTCTTCCTTTTGCTTTAGCTACTTGACATTCAAGGGCAAGTTTCAGAGTCTCTTCTGACATCCATTTTGGTCTTTTCTTTCTCTCCTGTCTTTTTAATGACCTCTTGCTTTCTTCACGTATGATGTCCTTGATGTCATTCCACAACTCGTCTGGTCTTCAGTCATTAGTGTTCAACACGTCAAATCGACTCTTGAGATGGTCTCTAAATTCAGGTGGGATATACTCAAGGTCGTGCTTTGGCTCTTGTGGACTTGTTCTAATTTTCTTCAGTTTCAACTTGAACTTCCATATGAGCAATTGATAGTCTGTTCCCCAGTCAGCCCCTGGCCTTGTTCTGACTGATGATATTGAGCTTTTCCATCGTCTCTTTCCACAGATGTAGTCGATTTGATTCCTGTATATTCCATCTGGTGAGGTCCATGTGTGTAGTCATGGTTTATTGTTGGTGAAAAAGGATATTTGCTATGAAGAAGTCATTGGTCTTGCACAATTCTATCATGTGATCTCTGGCATCATTTCTATCACCAAGGCCATGTTTTCCAACTACCAATCCTTCTTTGTTTCCAGCTTTCACATTCCAATCACCAGTAATTATCAACGCATCCTGATTGCATATTCGATCAGTTTCAGACTGAAGAAGTTGGTAAAAACCTTCAATTTCTTCATCTTTGACCTTAGTGGTTGGTGCATAAATTTGAATAATAGTTGTATTAACTGGTCTTCCTTGTAGGTGTATGGATATTATCCTATTGCTGACAGTGTTGTACTTCAGGATAGATCTTGAAATGTTCTTTTTGACAATGAATGCAACCAACACCTTTCCTCTTCAAGTTGTCATTTCCGGCGCAGTAGACCATATGACTGTCCGATTCAGAATGGCTGATACCAGTCCATTTCAGCTCACTAATGCCTAGGATATCAATGTTTATGCATTCCATTTCATTTCGGATGATTTCCAATTTTCCTAGATTCATACTTCGTAATTCCCTGTTCCAGATTATTAATGGATGTTTGCAGCTGTTTCTTCTCATTTTTAGTTGTGCCACATCAGCAAATGAAGATTCCAAAAGCTTGACTTCATCCACGTCATTAAGGTTGACTCTACTTTAAGGAGGCAGCTGTTACCCAGACGTCTTTTGAGTGCCTTCCAACCTGGGGGGCTCATCTTCTGGCACTATATCAGACAGTGTTCCGCTGCTATTCATAAGGTTTTCACTGGCTAATTCTTTTCAGAAGTAGACTGCTGGGTCCTTCTTCCTAGTCTGTCTTAGTCTGGGAGCTCAGCTGAAACCTGTCCGCCATGGGCAACCCTGCTGGTGTCTGAGTACCAGTGGCATAGCTTCCAGCATCACAGCAACATACAAGCTCAACTGACAGACACGTGGGGGCCATATTAAAATAATAAGAGTAAATAGTTCAGGATTCTATTTTAAAAAATAGTCTGGATAGCTGCCTCCACAGCCCTTGTGGCCTGTAAAGTCACGGCTGACCAGGACTCCGAGGCAGTGAAAGGGCTTTGGGCTGCTGGGAACGTCCAGTGACACGAGCCTCAGAAAGCCTGTGACAGCAGCCCCGAGGCTGCAGGCTTTGAAGCCCAGGAGAATGAGTGGTGGTGATGGAGGAGAAGGCGGTTGGCGGCACCGCCCGGATCATTGCAATGCAGAAAGAGATGCGTTGGAAGGAACAAGAGCTAGGAGAGGCCTGGAAGAAGCTGGCTCAGATCCAACAGCATCGTCCAGGTTCCTGCCTTCATGGCTTTGAGATGAGCACTGGGCAGCCACTTCTGTTTGACACAGACTCAGCCCAGAGTCAGTGCCTGCCACTACCAGAGTTTTACAACGCTCCCCAAAGTCTAGCCAAACCCCAGGCCTGGCCTGGCCAAGTGCCACTGCACATCCCCTGTCCCCTCTCCAACTCCCCAACTCCAAGTACCTTCTTGCTTTAGGCCCATCCAAGTGCCTGCCCCTCCCCAGAGTATTAACACACAAGAGTATTACTCGAGCTGCTGTATTTCAATCTGGACCTGCCAGGGCCCAGGCCCTCTCCACCCCGCCAGCAGCTTCCAGCCAGTCCTCACGGCCCCAGTTCTAGTCATGTTCGTTTGATACTATCTGTCCCCCAATCCCAGCTACCTATGGGGGCAGGGGTGTGATCCCCTGCAAGAAAAAAACAAACTGTCTGGACAATTTAGGCTTGAACTTACATACTTTACAGAAAAGTAAAAGCTTTGGTTTGGAGAGTCCTGGATTGCTGTACATGAGGCTATTTACATTTTAAATAAAATTAAAAATTCAGTTCCTCAGTTGCATGGGCCACATTTCAAGGTCTCAGTAGCCACATGTGGCTAACAGCTACTATGCTGGACAATTTACACTTCTATCCTTGTAGCAAATTGAATTGGATATCACTGGCCTAGTGAATTCCTGCCACGTAACATGCATGGATAGGCTAAATTGCTAACGTACTAACTTGACACTAGAATAATTGAGAAAGTCAGTGTAAAGCTCAGACTTGAGATTCTGCTCCCCAGATTGTTGTGGAGCTGATCTGTTGGAGCTCAGTGTAGAGGGCTCTGGCCTGTAGAGCTTGGCTCCTGTGGCCTATGTTCTTGGAGAAGAGATATAAGCAGCAGATTTAAACAATTTATCATGACAGATCTGCAGTAGGAGAGAACTTGGTTTTTACAAAATCCCTAAATGATGACATAAGGAGCTCTGATGGCACAAAGCTTAAGCGCTCGGCTGCTAACCGAAAGGTCAGTGGTTCGAACCCACCCAGCAGCTGGATGGGAAAAAGAATGGGTGATCTGCTTCCGTATAGATTAAACCTAAAAACCAAACCCGTGGCCGTTGAGTGAATTCCGACCTATAATGACACTATAGGACAGAGTAGAACTGCCCCATAGAATTTCCAAGGAGCCTAGAAAATCCTATGGGGCAGTTCGACTCTGTCACATGGGGTCGCTATGAGTCAAAATCGATTCAACAGCGCCTACCATCATCATCAACAGCAACCAATGATGCCACACACGTAAGTCTTTCGAGGCAGCGTTACCTTTTGCAGTCCTGAGGGAACAGATGTCACAGACAACCGCCTGGTGGTTTTCCTGGCCCGGAGCAGTGTATTCCCTTGGGTTATCGACTCTGTCTCCGCTTCTACCACATCAAATCGTATAGTCCCTTAGAGAAACGGGGAAAAAACTTGTAAAAAGCACAATTCTTCACACTAGAAAATTTTCTGAATAAACAGCATCACGCACTGCTTCAGTTGCTCTTTCCTTGGGGGTAAATACAACGAGTAGCTGTGCTTTTCCTAGTCTGATGCTTTTTCTTTTTGCCATGCCCTAACCTCAGTGGACGCCAGCCCAGTCTTGATGAGGGGTTACCTCTTTCTCTTTGAGACTTAAATTTTGTACTGCAGTGTTTTTTCCTTTCACCTTTGTGGGTGGCACAGTGGTTAAGAGCAATCCACCAGCCGCTCCTTGGAAACCCTATGGGGTAGTTCTACTCAGTCTCATAGGGTGGCTGTGAGTCAAAATTGACTCACAGGCAACGGGTTTGATTTTTGGTTTAAGTGTAAGGCTATCCTTTTGAGTACTTGTTGATCGAAGCAAAGTTTAACTCTATTCCCCAACAATGTGGCTCCAGGCTGTCAATCACATACCAACTTGGTAGTTTTTCCATTTCCAGGAACTGCGTGAACCCTGTGCTCCTTAATATTTTTCTTTATTTCAATTCAATTTCTCACTCAGTAAACACATTTATAAAGGAACTTTGTAACACTACCATAAATAAAAAACCAGTATCATAAGTCTAAAAAAACCAGATCAAACCCATTGCCATCGAGTCGAGTCCTACTTATAGCTCTGTCCTATAGGGTCGCTATGAGTCAGAATCGACTCCACAGCAAGGTGTTTGGATTTTAGTTAGTTATAACAACAAAAAATTTTTTCTTAAGCCCAGCTTACGTGTATCAATGTATCTACAAGGCTAAAACACTATGCTAATTTACATTTTGAACTTTCTAATGCCTCCGGACTATACGAAGAAGAGCGGGGCATCAGGACTGCAGGAAGACTCATTAACAACCTGCGATATGCAGATGACACAACCTTGCTTGCTGAAAGTGAACAGGACTTGAAGCACTTACTGATGAAGATCAAAGACTACAGCCTTTAGTATGGTTACACCTCAACATAAAGAAAACAAAAATCCTCCCAACTGGACCAATAAATAACATTATGGTAAACAGAGAAATGATTGAAGTTGTTAAGAATTTCATTTTATTTGGACCCACAATCAACACCCATAGAAGCAGCAGTCAAGAAATCAAATGACATATGGCATTGGGCAAATCTGCTGCAAAAGACTTCTTTAAAGTGTTCCAAAAGCAAAAATGTCTCTTTAAGGACTAAGGTGTGCCTGACCCAAGCCATGGTGTCTTTAATCACCTCATATGCATGTGAAAGCTGAACAGTGAATAAGGAAGACCCAAGAAGAATTGATGCCTTTGAATTATGGTGTTGGTGAAGAATATTGAATATACCATGGGCTGCCAGAAGAACGAACAAATCTGTCTTGGAAGAAGTACATCCAGAATGCTCCTTAAAAGCAGGGATGGCAAGACTTCGTCTCACGCACTTTGGACACGTTATCAGGAGGGACCAGTCCCTGGAGAAGAACATCATACTGGGTAAAGTAGAGGGTCAGTGAAAAAGAGGGAGACCCTCAACGAGATGGATTGACACAGTGGCTGCAACAATGGGCTCAAGCATAATAAGGATTGTGAGGATGGCAAAGGACTGGGCAGTGTTTCGTTCTGTTGTACGTAGGGTCTCTAGGGAGTTGGAACCAACTCAAGGGCGCCTGACAACAAAAATGCCTCAGATCAGAGCTGTCGTTACTACCCAATTACAATGTCGCTTCGAATCACATGGTTTCGTCCGCACGTGCTACAAGTGCACACTGTTATTTTTGTTGCTGCCAGTGTTTTTATAGTTGCTAATTTTGTCAGATTATCTGGTATTTTAGCTACAGTATTGTGGTAATTAGTATTTGTAAACCTCTATCAATAACTTTTTAGACAATGAAGTAGTAATTAAAGGAAAAGGAGAAAAAAAAGGCTTCCTCTCATTTACTAATAATGTAATTCAGTGTAGAAAGATTTTTCAAAAAATTGTTGTTAGTATTCATATAAGAAATATTATGTTTAAGCCATTTGCAACTATATCACATATTATTCTATGATTAAAATTGGTAATAAACTTACATGTATAACAATTATTGATTATATAACTCTGATAGCTAAATAGAAAAATTGACAGCTTAAAACATGAAGTGGGAGAAATGCTATGTTTCTCGATACATGTTTAGAAATATAACTAAGTCCAGTTTTTAAAAAATTTTAGCCTTTTTAAAATTTTCCTTAAAAAATCCCTGTCTTGCAAATCTATAATTGACTTTAATGAAATTTTCAGGATTTAAGTTTGAATTATTGTTTAGAAAAATAGTGACACATTAAAAAGTGAATTGACGAAATGTGTTGATTTTGATGAAGTCCTTCACAAGTTCACAGCTCTGAAGGCCAGGAAAGCAAAGTTCTCATTTAGTCAAGATGTTCACTAAGCACTGAAATGCTTGTGTACTTGTTCCTGTTTATTTTTATGATATTATTTCAGTTATCAATGTATTTCCATATGCATTTGTCTATAACATCTACATTATTTGGGCTGTTATTGATTATGCAAACCTAATCCATTAATGTATTTCATGTAACAGTAAAGTTTAATGTTAAAATGAACATAATTTTGATGTAGTTCTTAAATGTTTTTACTTTGAATTCTTTTGTTTTCTTACTGAATTTTCATTTTAACCACAAGAAACTATATAAATATAAGTACATTTAGGCTATGTGTATGATATTGTAATTTAAAAGTGTAATTTTAATTTTGCTAGTTCTTTATGTCACTGCTATTGCCATTATATTCAGTGATATATGGGAATTATGATTTATGAGTAACATTAGTACAGAAAACATTACTAAGGATTCTGTATGGGCTGGTACAGGAGGAGGTCCGTGGGAGGGGCGGGGGGGGGTGACACCATGAGTTACCGCCCTGGGTGACACCAACCCCAGTAACACCACTGCTTGCATCTGCTCTTGCCCTCCTCCAGTCCAGTCTCTACTCTGCAACCAGAGTTCTCTTCTAAAAATGCAAATCAGATTATAATGATCCTCAGCTTGAAAGCATTCATTGGTTTCTTATCACCATTAGGAGAAAGTTAAAAATTCTTCACATGGCCTACAACACGCTGTCCACCTCGTTATTCATCAGCATCTCCCTGGATCTCTCTGCTCCAACCACACTGGATTCCTTTTATTTCTTAATTATGCCCTATGCTCTCTTGATATTGGGGTTTTAAACATATTCTTCCTCCTTCCTAGGCAACTGTTCTCCCCATCCATTCTTTACCTAACTCTTAGTCATCCTTCATATCTCAATTTGGTTGTCCCTTCCTTAGGGAGGTCTTTCCTGACACCCCCTCCCAGGTTAGGTTAGAGCACCCATGATGTTCCATAGCACCCTCTTGCTTTTACTTTTGCATCAGATGTAACTATCTGTAATGTCTGAATGCCCTCTGTGCTATATCTCCATGAGGGCAGGGACCATGTCTATCCTATTTGCTACTCTATCCCAAATACTGTAGCTGGCATATAATTGTTCTTGTTGTTAGGTGCTGTTGGGTCACTTCCGACTCATAATGACCCTATGTACACGGAATGAAACACTGTCTGGTCCTGCGCCATCCTCACAGTCATTACTATCCTAGAGCACGTTGTTGCAGCCACTGTGTCAACCCATCTCCTTGAGGGTCTTCTTCTTTTTTGCTGGCCCTCTACTTTACCAAGCATGAAGTCCGTCTCCAGGGACTGGTCCCTCCTGATGACATGTCCAAAGCATGTGAGACAAAATGTTGCCTCCTTGCTTCTAAGGAGCATTCTGGCTGTACTTCTTCCAAGACAGATTTGTTCTTTCTTCTGGCAGTCTGTGGTATATGCAATATTCTTCGCCAACACCATATAATTAGTGCTTAGGAAATGTTTGTTAAATAGAAAAAAGTGTTATGGAGTCAACAGGAAAGAGCTCCTATCTTGGGACAACAGAAAAGGCAGGGTAATGATGTTGGAGATCCATCCTAATGGGTAGGCATATTTGCTAGAGAAATCTTAGTTTAGAGATTTGTCATTCCAACTGAGACAAAAATAAACCAATGCACAGATTAGAAGCAGAAATTTGGTCCTTTGTTTCCTGCTGGACTCTCCAGCTCCAGCTCCACTACTACAGAAGCATGTCCTCTTTGCTATTTTCAACAGAAATATACAGGTCAATCCATCCCAGGTAATTGCTGGATGCTTGGATGCTTGTATTAGTGACTGCTTTTTTTCCAGCAGAGAGAGCTTGTCTGAAAGGGCAATCAGTCAGCTGGAAACAATCAGGATGTTTTTTTGAAAAAGCACCCACCAGGTTTGCAGCCTGATCTCCAAGTGAAATGGAAGGTTGTGTGTGGGTTCCCTACATGTTCTCTAAGGACTGGAGACGTTTCCGGATGCGGTACCGCAAAGGACCTTAGAAAGTTACAGACAAGAAGGCAAACAGTGGTGGTATTGCTAATCACAACTCACAGGACCCAAAGAACGGCACTACTACGCTGCAAAAAAGACTCAGCAGTTCAAAAGTGGACTCTTCCACAAAGTGCCGAGGAACGTCAATATAATAAATACCTTTCATGACTTACCAATCATAAATTTGATTCATTTAATCCTCACACACCCTCAACCTCAACTCTGTGGGAGTGGCCATTTGAAAGGCTACATCACTGCTGACTCCAGAGACAAAACAAAATGAAAATTCCTACTTTAGTTTGATTTTCTAGTATATGTATATACACACACACATGCATATACACATATATATGTGAATATATGTGTGTGTGTGTATATATATACATATAGATATATATACATACCCATTGCTGTCGAGTCGATTCCAACTCATAGCAACCCTATAGGACAGAGTAGAACTGCCCCATAGGGTTTCTAAGGAGTGGCTGGTGGATTCGAACTGCCGAACTTTTGGTTAGCAGCTGAGCTCTTAACCACTGCGCCACCAGGGTTTCCATATATATATATATATGTCTATAAACCAAAAAAGCCCAAACCCGTTGCTGTTGAGTTGATTCCAGCTCATACATATATATATATACACACACCCACACACACATATATATACATATGAATATAGGAGTCCCTGGGTGGTACAACTGGTCAAGCCCTGAGCCACTGACTGAAAGGTTGGCAGTTCAGATCCACCCAGAGGCACCTCAGAAGAAAGATCTGGTGATCTGCTTCTGAAAGGTCACAGCCATGAAAACCTTATGGAGCACAGTTCTACTCTGCAACACACGGGGTGTCCATGAGTCCGAATCGACTCAACGGCACCTGATACTGGTGGTGTAGGAACATATAGATGAATATACATTAGAATCTATGTATGTGTATGTATTCAAATAAAAAGAAATTTTAGACCTGACTAGACTACTTATTAATTGAACTGGGAGGGACTTCAAAGGCAATCTATTCCAGTGCTTTGAGTAACAAGAAAATCCACCCGAATGCCACTCTTCCTCTTGGCCTTGAAGCTTAATGATAAATTGCCTTTGATTACCGTTCTGTGAGAGCTTTCTCATTCTTGGTTTGGTAAATAACTTGACAATTCTAGGAAGAAGACTCTGCGTGTTTGAAAGGAGGGCTTCCTTATGGATAGTGGAGCTCTCTCTGCTGACACTTGCTGGCTTCCTTCTGTACTTGTATGATAGAACCTTCCCCAAAGCGGTCTTCAACTTCTTCATCACATTTTGTTTCTTATTTTGCTGGTTTTCATGAAATTCCATGTCACTATCACTGGATGATTCCTCTCTGGGGACCAATACATTTTGTTTTACCAAATTGGTGGACGTAGCTCTATGCCATCTAAAGAAAATAAAAATAATGTACATTAAGGAAATTGAAAAGTTAAAAATGAATAATTTGTCATTAAAACCCAAACTTCAAATGTGAACAAATAATACGACTCTGAAAACAGAAATAAAAGACCAAGAATCAAATCACAGGAAAATAAAGTCAAAGCAACTATTTGGCTTTTGTCTCCAAACTGCAGTATGTACATCGGAACCACTATTTCATTTAATCCTCATGGCACCGAAAGAGATAGCATATATTATTACCTTCATTTTACTAATGAGTAAACTAAGACACGGAGAGGTTAAATAAAGCAGCCAAGTGTAGGATGAAGATTTTAATCCCACTCTGTGACTGTTAAAATACATTACTCCATATTGGCAAATTGGCAAACTTATTTCAATGGTGGTTGAGATTGTTTCTGCTGAATATGGCAGTTCAGAGGCCATAGTGATGAGAGAATCTGCTACGGTAGTTGTCTTACTTAGTTATCTAGTGTTGCTATAACAGAAATATCACGAGTGGATGGCTTTAACAAAGAGAAATTTATTCTCTCACAGTCCAGTAGGCTACAAGTCCAAATTCAGGGCATCAGCTCCAGGGGAAGGCTTTCTCTTCTCAGCTCTGGAGGACGGTCCTTGTCATCAATCTTCCCCTGGTCGAGGAGCTTCTCAGCATAGGGACCCTGGGTCCAAAGGATGTGCTCTCTTGCTCTTCATTCTTGGTGGTAGGAGGTCCCCCACTCTCTGCTTGCTTCCTTTCCTTTAATCTCTTGTAAGGTAAAAGGGGTGCAGGCCACACCCCAGGGAAACTCCCTTTACATTGGATCAGGGATGTGACCTGAGCAAGGGTGTTATGTCCCTCCCTAATCCTCTTCAACATAATTCAATCTTGCCTCATTAACCACAGGCAAATATTAGGATTTATAACATAACAGGAAAATTATATCAATCATAAAATGGAGGACAACTACACAATACTGGGAATCATGGCCTAACCATGTTGACACATATTTTTGGGGAACACAATTCAATCCATGACATTTGGCGATCTTATTTCAATGGTAGTTGAGACTGTTTTTGCAAAATTTGGCGGTTCAGAGGCCATAGTGATGAGAGAATCTGCTATGGTAGCCAATGAGAAATATGTACTTCTGAGGCCCCAAATACTTCATTTACATAGAACACTCATGTAGATAAAGTCCCCACACCGACATCTCCATTTTATAAATGAGGAAATCAAAGCTTGGAAAAATTAAGTAATTTACACCCAGGTGATCTGATTCCAAGGTCTGTGCTGTTAACCTCTACACCACAGTGAATACTACCTATACCAAGATACCATTATTTACCGAATATTCTCCTTCAATTAACTTTTTTTTTTTTTGTTAGTCTCATCCAGAGCAATAGTATCCAGGAAATCCCAGGATATATGTAGTATATATATATATTATATACATAATATTTATAAACCAAAAAAAAGAAAAAACCAAACCCATTGCCACTGAGTTGATTCTGACTCATAGCGACCCTGCAGGACAAAGTAGAACTGCTCCACAGAGTTTCCAAGGAGTGGCTGGTGGATTCGAACGGCCAACCTTTTTTTTGGTTAGCTGCCAAGTTCTTAAACACTGTACCACCAGGGCTCTATAATATTTATATACATATTTCTCATATGGATTTAAAAAATTCATAACGATTAAAATTTTAAAATAAATGTTCTTCATATCATAGTCTACCAAATATGTCTTAAGTATCACCAATAGTTTGTGTACCACACTTCTGAGAAACACTGCTCTAAACTGGACCTGAAGCATTCATTATCATCTGTAATTATACATGGGAATAGTTTGGTAACTGCCCAGGCATTGTAGGGAAATGGTCTTGGTTCAACCCAGCATCACACTTCCTAGCTGTGTGATCTTGGGCATGATTTTTATTCTCTATAAGCTTTGGTTTTCTCATTTGAAAATGGGCATATTATTCTCAGAAATGTGAGAATAAAAGGAAATGACTTATGATCTTGGGACATAAGCATTACCCTGTAGATCAGATCTGTATGGGGAAAATGTAAAAGGCAAGGAGGGAGCACAAGCTAGAGGTCAAAACAAGGGAGTCCTTGTGGGTCAGCAGCCTCCCTTTTGAGACCAAGAAAAGAAATTCTACAAGTCATACATACACTAGTTCTGTTGTTAGCGACCCTAGAGTTGACCTCGACTCATGACAACCTCACGCACAACAGAAGAAAATGCTGCCTGGTCCTGCGCCGTCCCTATGATTAGTTGTGGGTCTAACAATTGTTATCTGTAGGATTTTCATTGGCTGATTTTCAAAAGTAGACCACCAGCCCTTTCTTCCTAGTCCACCTTAGTCTAGAAGCTCCACTGAAACCTGTTTAGCCTCACAGCAACAGGCAAGCCTCCCAGACAGGTGGCGGCTGTGCGTGAGGTGCCTTGGCTGGGAATTGAACCCAGACCTCCTGCAAGGAAGGTGAGAAGTCTACTACTGAACCACCAATGTAAAGCCTCATACACAACTTCTAGGATGCGCTCTTGTTGTTTTGTGTCGTTGAATCGATTTTGACTCATGGCGACCACATGTGACAGAGCAGAACTGCCCCACAGGGTTTCCTAGGGGGGAGGAGATCTGGTGGAGCAGCGGTAAGGTCAATGGTTCGAACCCACCACCCACTCTGTGGCAGAAAGATGTGGCAGTCTGTTTCCACAAAGATTACAGCCTCGGAAACCCCATGGGGCGGTTCTACACTGTCCTAGAGGGTCGCTAGAAATCGGAATTGACTCAGCACCAACGGGTTTGGTTTGGTTTAATCTCTTCTTCCACAGAGATGCTGGGTGGGTTCAAACCGCCAACTTTTTTTTTTTTTTTTTTTTTTTTTTTTTTTTTATTGTACTTCAGGTGAAGGCTTACAGAACAAATAGTTTCTCATGAAACAGAAGTACACGTTGTTTTATGACATTGGTTAACAACCCCACAACATATCAACCCTCTAACTTCTCAACCTTTTTTTTTTTTTGGTGAAAATACACATAGCCAAAGATACATCATTTCAAAAATTTCTGCATGCACAGTTCAGTGACATTGACTACGCTCTTCGAATTGTGCTGTTATTCTCACTTAAGATGAAGGCTTACAGAACAAAAGAGTTTCTCATTTAACAGTTACTACAAATGTTGCCCTATGACAATGGTTAACAATCTCACAACACATCAACAATATCCTTACTCAACCTTGGGTTCCCTATCACCAGCTTCCTTGTCCCCTTCTGCGTTCTAGCCCTTGTCACTGGACTCCTGTACCTCGTTAGTCTCATTTGGTTTTACGGGGCTGTCCGCTCCCAGGCTGAACAGTGAACCTCGGAGGTAACTTCACCACTGAGCTAAAAGGGTGTCTGGGGGCCATACTCTCAGGGTTTCTCCAGTCTCCTTTAGGCCAGTAAATCTGGTCTTTTTTTTTGTGACTTAGAATTATGCTCTACATCCTTCTCCAGCTCTGTCCAGAACCCTCTGTTGTGATCCTGGTCAGAGCAGTCAGTGGTGGTAGCCGGGCACCATCTAGCTGTACTGGACTCAGTCTGGTGGAGGCCTTGGTAGCTGTGGACAATTAGTCCTTTGGACTAATCTTTTCCTTGTATCCTGTTCTCTTCATTCTCCCTTGCTCCCGAAGGGATGAGACCAGTGGAGTATCTTAGATGGCCGCTCACAGGCTTTTAAGACCCCAGACACTACTCACCAAGGTAGAAGGTAGAGCATTGTCTTTATAAGCTGTGTCATGCCAATTGAGCTAGATGTTCCCCAAGACCATGGTCCCCAGAGCCCTCCGCCCAGCCATTCAGTCCCTTGGGGAGTTTGGATGTGTCTATGGGGCTTCCATGACCTTTCCTTGTACAAGTTGTGCTAGTTTCTCCTGTATTGTGTACTGTCTCACCCTTCACCCAAGATATCAAACCACCAACTTTTGAGTTAGCAGCCTTTTAACCTTTGCACTACCAGGGTTCCTTCTGGGGTGTGCTGTTCGCATTCAGTTACATAATGATGTAGTTGGGTACAGTTATTACAATATTTTTCCAGCAGATGGCAGTAAAGTGTCCTGAGGAAGGACCACCATTTTCTAATTCTCCCAAAGATAAATTATGGGTCAGGATTCATCTTTCATGGATTCCTCTCAGAATCTTTTTAAGGAATCGTTGCTATCTACCACCATAAATATGTACACACACACACGCGCGCGCGCGCGCGCGCGCGCACTCAAACAAAAAAACTATTATACAATTTCTGGAGGTACAGGAAGTCTTCCCCCCTCCAACCCCAATGTTAAAAGCCCACCTCTAAGCAGTCTCTGAATTTAGCAGTGAATTTATTTGGTTGTATTGCTTCCATGTTAAACCCCTATTTCTTACTGAAAGTGGAAATCCTTGCAATATTTCATTTTGTCCATGGAAGATAAGGAGTTTGGCCTTTAAAGCCCCCAGCCTCGTGAAAACACCTCACTTCTTACATGTCTGAGGTATAGCTCATGACCATTATTAAGAACCTGGTAAGAGAGAAACCCAAAGAAATTGGAAAATAAATCATCACACTGACTTTCTAAATTAAAATGTATCATGCTTGGAGTATTTCACACCTGTCTTTATGGTTTTGCCATTGGCAAGAAATATCAATTATAAGATAGTTTTAATGTTCCATTAAAGAAAGTGCACTTAGGTGAAATACGGTTAGTACATATTTCAGCAGGAAACTTGCTGGGAAAAGGAACAGAAAGCACTGATCATGTACTTACTTTGAAGAATGGGCCGCTGAATTTTCAAAATAACACTATTTGCTTAGGAGGCAGGATGTCTACAGTTCTGGAACTGAAGTATCAACTTAATATCACTGCTTATTTTAGTCTCATATGTCACATCGAAATTCAAATTCAGGTGGAACGGAAAGAATTTTCCCTGTTACAATTAAGACTTTGCTGACCGTACAATGACGTTTCTGTTGTGGCACTCGGTTTCCGGATCCAAAGTTAAGTATGTACCCCCTGCCCCAGCCCATACAGTCTTCATTTCTAAAGGCAGTTCTTAAAAAAGAGACGCTACCTTTCCTAATCATCAGAGCAAATATTGTTTAATGCAACATCCAAAGACCTTCATTCCATGGAAAAGAAGTGAGTCCCTGCTGCCTACCTTGCAATCCCCTTCCTTTTGAATGAGACGTTTTTCTTTCTCTGCTGCTGAAATCTTCGGTACTCGCCAACTTTTCCGTAGGTAACCTTAGAGGGCTCCAGTAGGCATGGCTGAGGCTGATCCATTGCGTTCAGCTTTACAGGAAGTAGCCGTTTTGGATTTCTTTAGATCTTAAAAACAACCTTAAAACAAAATCACCCAGTTAGTGGCAAAAGGCACTTTCAACTTCTGGGCTCTTGGGGGTAAAGTATGTAGGAAATTTCTGGAGTCTTCTCCTTATTCCCTTCCAAGTGTTAGAGACATCATTTGCAGGGCTGACCGTGTTTACCACCTCACAGAGGTCACCAATGATGCATTTAACAGAACTGTGGAAAATTCTGAGGCGCTTTGTGGAACACAGCAATACATTCCTGGGCAAGGCAATGCAGAAGTGGGCAACGTGATTTTCTAATTACCCCCATTTAGGTCGGTAACGAATTATCACACCCAAATTGGTTATCCCATTCAGAACGTGCATGTTTGAATCCTAAAGAGGAAAGAATCTGTAGCAATACCAGTACAGAAATACGTACTGCTAGATCTCCAGCTGGAGTTGAAGGTTCTCTGCCCTGGGGGACAGACATGAAAAGGTCAGTTATTGTTGGGGTTGTTTCATTACATCTCGGAATGCTTTAGCAATCTCTCAAAGCTCATGGCTGAGAAACGTGGGAACCCAAACCACCCATCCCTTCCACCATTTCCCCATTTATTTCGTGAGGAGCAAAGTCTGCCCAGGATGGAACTTCTCACCACAGGGTGGCAGCAAACATTAGGATTTATTCCGGCCACTCTCTGGCACTTTTAAGTTTTTCAGTCTGAAATAACCGTAGCACTGTGGTTAAGAGCTACAGCGAGCTATGGCTGCTAACCAGGTCAGCTGTTCGAATCCATCAGCCGCTCCTTGGAAACCCTATGGGGCAGTTCTACTCTGTCCTACAGGGTTGCTATGAGTCGGAATCCAGTCGACGGCAATGGGGTTTTCTTTCATTTTTTTTTTTTTAAGGAGGAAAACTCCTCTCAAATGGTGTTGGGAGGTGTAGGAATTCTTTGCTTTCTTTGTACTCATTGATGTCTTGGAGCACGCTTCTCAAATTTTTATGTGCATTTGAATTTCTTGGCGATCTTGTTAAAATGCAGATTTTGATACAGTAGGTCGGAGGTTGTGGTTGTAGTTAGCTACCATTGAGTTAGCCCTGACTCATGGTGACCCCACGCACGAATGAATGCAACATTGCCGGGTCCTGTGCCATCCTCACAATCATTACTATGTTTGAGCCTAATTATTGGTATAGCCGTCTTAATTCTAAAGGAGCCCTGGTGGCACAGCAGTTAAGCACTCGGCTGCTAACAGAAGAGTTGGTGATTCAACCCACCAGTGGCTCTGTAGGAGAAAGCTGTGGCAGTCTGCTCCCATAAAGATTTACAGCCTTGGAAACCCTGTGGGGCAGTTCTGCTCTGTCCTGTAGGGTCATTATGAGTCAGAATTGACTCAATGGCAATGGTTGGGTTTTTAGTTTGGTCTTAATTCTGCTGTATGTTGTCAAATATCTGGATGTATAGGATTAATACTACATGAGGAAAGGGAAGTTGGTTTTTACTTGTGCCTGCATGTGTGTGTGTGTGTGTCCACCTACGTAAGTATAATAGGCTGACACAGTTGCTGCTTTGCTTTCTGTGACAATACGTACAGTTCTCAAAGGAGTCCAGAAGCAAATGATGGAGCTAGAGAGCAGAGCAGGAGAGAAAAGCAAGGAGAAGAGCTAAAAGCACAGAGAGCAATTTTGAGACAAGTCTGGATTTAAATTCTAGCTCTGCCCCTTCCTGGTGCAAACAATTTGAGCTTGTCTACTAATCTGAAAGGCTGGCAGTTCAAATTCACTAGTGGTGCCACAGAAGAAAGGCCTGGTGATCTATTTCCATAAGATTACAGCCTACGCTGTGCAATTCTACTCTGACACACATGGTCGCCCTGAGCTGGAATCGACTCAGTGGCAACAGATTTGGTTTCTCGTTTTTTCTGCCCCTTACTAGCTGGGGGCCCACGGGCAGCTGACAAAACCTCTCGGAGCTTCATTTTCTCACCTGTTAAACAGGAGTAACTGCTACCTCCCAGGATGTTGTATTTATTCAGTTATTCAACAATTATTTGAATGACTACCGGGTGTCGGGCCCTGCCGTAGGCACCAGGGATACCGCAGTGAACAACACGAAAACCCCTGAACTAATGTAACCCCTAAAACGCCGTGGGAGAGGCTGGTAAAAGAACAAGAAAACCAATAAATTAAATGATTCCAGCTAGTGGCAAGTGCTCTGAGGAAAATAAAAGAGGGTGACAGGATAGATGACCAAGGGTGAGGGTCACCTTTAGATGGAGGACTCAGGAAAGACCTGCCTGGCGGGGTCTTTGGGACCAGGAGCTGAACAGAGAGAAGGAGCACACATGTGAAGATCTGGGGAAGGCACGTCTAGGCAGATAAGGCAGCAAGGACAGCAGCCCCGAGGTGGAAAGTGTCTGATGTCTTTGAAAACGTACGGATAGCCAAGGTGGCAGAGGCAAAGAGATGCACGTGTGTGATGAACTACACAGACAGGCAAGGGCCAGGCCTGCTGGGTCCTAGAGACCAAACTAAAGCTCTGGATCTTTATCTTCAGAGAAATGGGAAGTGATTGAGGGCTTTTAAGGAGTGAGTCAATACACATTTATTCTGGGTACTGAGGGTACAGCAAGGAACAGGATGATTAGAATCCCTCCCAGGAGTGACATTCCGGTGCAGGAGACAGACACCAAACACGTTAACAAACCTAAATGGTTTCGGGCACTGACAATTAATGCTACGGAAAACAGACCAAAACAGACATAGAGAAAACCAAGCCAACAGGGAAGCGCGGTGGAAAGTGACCAGGAGCAAGCACTTGTCCCAGATGACGCCGCTTCAGGAAGTGACGTTTGAGGTGAGACACAAATACCGGAAGGGAGGCAACTATGCTAAGAAATGGAGGAAGTGTTCCCAGATGGGAGACTGCGTGGGTGAAGGACGGGGTGTGGGCGTGCTCTACGCATGTCTGAGCAGGGAGACCATTGTGGCCAGAACATAGGCAACAAGCGAAGGCAGAATGATGCTGGATTTTAAAGAGATTGCTGTGTGCTGTCTGGAAACTATATTGGAGAGGAAGAAGGGTAGTTGTTGAAAAATGATTAGGTAGGCAATCGCTCCGGACCGTTGATGGTGGTGATCAGAAGCGGAGTGATACAGAAGTGTACAGATTCAGGAACTATTTAGGGAGGAAGCAGGCGACTACTAGCCAAAAGGTTGGTGGTTGGGACCCACCCCGAGGCTCCTCGGAAGACAGGCCTGGAGATCTGCTTCTGAAAGATCACAGTCTTGAAAACCCTGTGGAGCACAGTTCTACTCTGCACACACGCGGTTGCCATGAGTTGGAATAGACTTGACCACAACTAACAACAAGAAGCGTAATACTGAAATGGCAATTTGCTTCCTAAAGGTCACAACCCTGAAAACCCTGTGGAGTACCATTCTACTCTCTCCAATACATGGGGTCGCCATGAACTGGAACTGACTCCTCGTCAACTGGTTTTTTATAAGACTGAAATGTGCTGGGTTGGGAGGAGCGGCGAGAACAGAGCGGGAGATATTAGGTTGGGGAGTTAGGTTGCTGCAGGAGTGCAAATGTGATGTGGTGGTGGTTTAACTAAGAGGGAGCAGAGCTAGCCAGAGGGACACCAAATCCAGAGTCCCCCGTATGTCTGCTTTTCAACTGTCTTTCAGCGGACATGGATGGAATCATCATCCCCATGTGACCATTATCTGAACCTTTGTCAATATCCCTCTGAAAAGCTGGAGCAGGGCAAACTGGGCAAAACACCATCTCCCTTGTTCTCAGCTTTATCCTTCTATTGAACATGTCTGAGATTGCATAATCCTATTTAGGTAACCATAGCAACAGTTGACTCCTATGGAGATAGCAATTGATGGAAACCTCTAAATCAGGGATGGCAAACACGAACCCCCGCAGAAGCCAGGCAGGTCAACGTGAGAAGCACTGGGGTGTAACAGGGAGCAGAGGAAAGTGTAGTAAACTGCTATTGAGCTTCACGTTTTTTAAAAGCCTTGTGCATTTAAAATGTCGTCTGCGGGCCATATTTAGCCTATAGGTTACAACCTGCTGGCCCCAGAGATCTTTTTATGCCCACTCTTCCTTAAGCCAGGTCTCTCCCACCTGTGGTCCTAAAGCTGATTTTCCCCCAAGTTTTAATTTAAACTTGTTAACTTGCATCTGATTGGCTTTTGGCCAGTTTTTAGGGTGTTTTTGCATCTTGTCTCTATCTGGCTGCATATTAGCTTCGCCTAAGCCCTCTGCAGACTTGGAAGCTGAGACTCTGAGTCTTCCTCCGAGTCTGGGTGTGATAAACACAGAACGGGGCGGGGCAATGTGCCTTAGTTACCTGTGGTTAGTTTGTTGTTGTTTTAATGGTACTTCAGGTGAAGGCTTACAGAACACGTAGTTTCTCATGAAACAGTAGTACACATATTGTTTTATGACATTGGTTAACAACCCCACAACATGTCAACCCTCTCCCTTCTCGACCTTTTTCTTTT